CCTCCTGGCACCCGTGCTAAATAACGACCCGCAGCAGCCATCTTCTCTGCATTTCTTTTTCAGTTTGGGCATGGGCCTGTGTCGTGTTGGAGGCCGATGGGCGCGTTAAAGCACGTGTTGATACGTTCGTTCCGCTGAGTTTGCTAGCAACGGGCTACCTAGAACAAAAAAACAAACACTTCCGGCTTCGGTTTCTTCTCACGATTCTTTGTAAAGCAATTTCCATGACCAAGTACCGGCTGACTTTGGACATTTCCAGCAAACTGGCCTTAGGTTTCTCGGTGTTCACATCTCCAGTCTCCAAAGGAGTCTAAACTCCGATGACCACAGGCTGGTCGCTTTACTGTAGCTCTGATGGAAGTCTTAAAATGCCTTTTCTGGAACCACGGCCATAAACCGGTCCAATGTTCCGTCTAAAGTTGGCCCATGCAATTTACATGACATCTTTCTCACTCTGTTCATTGAACTCCACTGGTTACCTCTGGCTGCCCGTAACAAATTCAAGTCCCTGATGCTAGCCTACAAAGTGCTTAAGGGTACGGCTCCCATCTACTCGAATCCTCTTGCAAAGGCTCATGTCACAACTCGATCACTCCGGTCATCAATGGATTGTGGTATAGCAGAGCCTTCACCACGCTTAAGACCATCCAGACTGTCTGCGTGTGTCGATCCAAGATGGTTGAACAACTTACCAAGCGCTACAGGAACAGTCTGTCTTCAAGAAACTCTTGAAGACCCACCTCTTCAAAGAGCATCTCCTATCCTAACCCTAACCCGTACCTCTATCCCCCCCACAACTCCATCTGAAGTCCCTCTACCTCTATCTCTATCTCACCACTGACTCTGATCAGTGTTTCTCCTCTGGATAGCTTATTGTCATAGTGATGATAAATTGAATATTGTGTCTACTCTGTAAGTCGCTTTGGATAAAAGCGTCTGCCAAATGCATAAACATAAACATTAACATCTATTAAGCTTAGGAACCCAGGTCAGACTCCAGCTTCCTCCCACCGTCAGAAAACATCCACGCAAGGGTGAATAGTGACTCTAAATTGTGTGGAGGCTCGCATGTGAGCGTGTACGGTTGTCCGTCTGTTGGTTCCAGAGGTCTTGATTTGGGATTAGAAGGTGCAAAAATGGATGAGCTTCCATCAGGGTTCTGCTTATGGACTGGCTTTGACTGCTTGTGGAGCTCCTGGTGGTGTACCGGATCCAATGTGTCGGTTTAAGACGACGTGAGCCATCAGAAAGTTACACAAATGTGGCAACAAATGACACACATCTGGACAGGCGGCGCAAAAGTTGTGACCAAGGGGCGAGAAAACACCTTTGTCTTGTAAAATGAAGCATGAGGAAGAGAACGGTCCACTTTCGGTGGTTGACTTATTGAGTTAGATCTGGTTTTTGGCTGAAAAATCAAGAAAAATCTGAGTTTTGTTGTTTTAGACTTGCCTTTGGGAGATTATTTAACTCTTATACGCATTTTTGGCCTGGCTCAAATGGGTCCAGAAGTTTGCATTATATCACTTTAAAAAGCGCTTTTTAATAAGCCGTGTTTTTCCTCTAACGAAGCATCTTTTATGCATTTATTTGCCATGCTGTAGAGCTGTACGCTTAGCACGGAGCTACCAGCACAGCACGCGCACGGACAAGTCGCGCTCATTAAAATTCACCCCGGAGCACGACAATGGAGGGGGGTCTTGTGTACTCACACACACAGACACACACCGGGTCGATATATGTTGATAGAAACGAACCCCAGATGGATCTTTCCTTGCAAAGCCAATGAGGTTAACTAAGTCACCGACACACTGATCGCCGAGTGTGTGATCAAGTGTGCTGGGTCCGATGTGCGTCTGTGTGAGTGTGTGTTCCCCGGTCTGTGTTATGGTTCCTGTTCAATTACTAGCGAGATGATTTAGTACACACGGGGAAATAAATGGCGGATGCCCGTGTCCCTGTGGCTGCTTTGTTTTCCTCCCATGTGAGGACAAGTATAGCTTACTGGGAGGGACCAATGAGTTTGACAGGGCTCCATGCGGGATTTTTTTTATTTCTCCAACATTTTAGAACTTTATTTTGGTTTTCTGATGGTTTAAACCAAATCCATAGCTCTCATGAAAAGATTCCTATGACCAAATTTGAATCTTCATGGATTCATGATCTGAAAAAATTCCTATGACCAAATTTGAATCTTAATAGATTCATGATCTGGTATGTATAATAAAATTTGCTGATGATGGTTAATAGATAATCAGTTGTTGGTGCTATTTTGTTCACTTTCTGTTATCCGTTGGATAAATAATGAGCTATTACTTTCTAAAATCAAACTAGTTTACAGGTTGTTTCTTTAATATTAACCATCAGCCAGTTCCTCAATCATGCCTCACCGGTTTCCTGCTGACTAAGCAAAGTGATGTCCGTTATTGTATGTTACCCTTTGGACTATTCGAAAATAGATCAAATTAGTCCCAATCTGACTGAATGAGTTGGTTAAATTGTACAATAA